TGGGAGGCTGAGGCAGGAGACTCGCTTGAGCCCAGGAGTTGGAGGTTGCTGTGAGCTGTGATGCCATGGCACTCTACCCAAGGGGATAGCTTGAGACTCTGTCTCAAAAAAAAAAAAAAAAAAGACTGCTTAGTAGGGAGGAGATAGATGGCTGACCCCAGAGAAGGGTGGTGTCATGACATGTTCTTCCTGACATTCAGGACACTCTAGGGGGGCAGGGTTGGGCTAAAAGTGTGGTGGAGGCTTTTCATTCTCCTCACTTGAAGGGAGTGACTCCCTGGTTTCAAAGCTTGGCTCTACCACTCCCTACCTGATGGACAAGGTGCCAAATCTCTCTGTGCTCCACCTGTGAAATGGCAGCACTAACACTCCCTGCCATGTAGGTAGTCATAGCTATGGCTTTAGATCTCAAAGTTGTTTCTTCTCAGGGCACTGTCTGGTGCGTGGTAAGCACTATGTGAGTGTGGTTCTTAACTCTGGTCTTTGCATGCCCTGGTGGAAGAACCCAGTCTGCTTTTTCTCTCCTTTTTAAACCACTCCTCCAAAGCTCCCACCCCAGCTCTGACTACCAGCTGTTTCAGTTCTGTGGACCACTCTGACCTTATGTTCCAAACAATCAACCTGGGAATTTACCCAGCCTAGAGGTTCTGGCCAAGGAGGCTAAGACAAGCTGCTCTCAGGGGAACCTTGGTCAAAACACACCCATGGGGGCTCCTAGGGGCATGATCTTGATGCATAACCCAATCCTCTGACTCCAACACCATGGTTTCATTAACAAGGAAACAGGAGCCCAGAGTGAGGCAGCACCTTGATCCAGATTATATGGATCAATAGCAGGGCTATGCTTATTTAAAGAAGGGTTCCATATAAAGAAAGGGCTGTCTTCACTGAACTGTCCCTCCCCTCCTATGGAAATGTCCCCTTCTGGAGACTGCCTCCAGTGTCTGTGAGAATCAGAAGTTCCATGAGGGCAGGGATGGTGACTCATTCATCTTTTCATCCCCCAGACTCCTAAAGAACATATGTTTTGGCATCTACACATAAGCCAAAAAAGAGCAGGGGCCAGGGGTTGGTGTCAGGAGGCAAGAGAAGCTGGTTTTGCTTTAGACAGAAGAGGCTCACACAGCCCCTGAGACAGAAGGTCCCTGCTCTCAGTGGATGAGTGTTGCTACTTCTGGATGGAGGTGTTCAGCTGGTGTCTGTACCCCACTCAGGCAGGGGATGGGATGGGAGTGGAGGCTGGGACATTAGAGACTGTCCTCCCTCATTCCAGGCTTTGAACATCCAGTAGACTGTCTAACTCCTACATGCCTAATCTCCCTGTCACCTAGGCCAGAAGCCTGAGAGTCATCTTCAGCTCCTCTCACATGCTCACTTCAAAGTCATTATGTCCAGCATCCTTTTGGCTCTGTCTTCAAAATATATTTAGAAATCAATTCCTTCACATCCCACTGCCTGCTGTCTCCCTGCACTGAGTGGTCAGCACCACAGACTTCTGCTTCAGCCCCTGCAATCTATTATAACACAGCAGCCAGAGTGGCCCCATTGAAATGCAAGTAATCACATCACTCTTCTGCTCAAAATTCTCTCACCCCACTCCCATTTCAGAGGAGAGACCAAAGTCTATGCGACAGCCTGCAAGGCCTGCTATCCTGGCCCCTGTTCTGTCTTTCAGTCCTCTGGCTATCCCCTCAGAAGGACGGTACATGCCTCCAGACACTGGTGTGGTTCCCCTTCCCTTCTTCAAGTCTTTGCTGGAGTGTCACTTCTTCAGCAAGGCCTACCCTGACTAGATGATTCAGCGTCAGCTAACAATCCTGATATGCTAGATAAGTGGTTCTCAACCATCCTAATGCTGTGGCCCTTTAATACAGAGACCCACAGATTGAGAACCGTTGTGCTAGATGATTTATTTTTTGACCATATGGCACTGCCTATTGTCCTGTCTCATCTTCTCAGCCTACCTCACTGCTGGGCCCCAAGTACCTAACATAGTACCCAGCTCACCATGCTGCCACCTGGGGGAGGGAGCTGAGCAGGAAGGGTCTAAAGGGAGTCCTCTGTCTCTGGTCTGTGAATCAGCTGAGGACAGGAGCAGATAGCAGTGGGAGAACCAGGCTCAAGGTAGACATTTGATGGGCTGAGACATCTTCCCCTACCCCCATCCTTTTTGCAGGCCTGGAGGAGGAACCCCACTCAAGCAGAAGAGGTGACAACTACCCACTCAGCATGGTCCAAATACTGTAGGAAGTGTGAGGGATCACGGGGGCCACACCAGCACCCTCCTCAGCTCTGGTCCCATCTTGTTTTGGTTTTTGGTCAAGTTCCCTTTGACAAGTCCTATTCCTCCTCTCCCAACTGAGCTATGGGGAAAAGGAGGGGAGATGGAGTCAAGTGTCCAAAGGCTGCCAGCCCTCTTGGCAGAACTGGGGAGGGGAGAGCCACAGAGTCTGGGAGAAGGCCTGCGGGCTATTCTGTCCCCAAACGCTGGGGCCTCAGCTTGCCATTTGTTCACCCCTCGGTCTTCTGGCAAACAGGACTGCCAGTGTAGACCTGGAGGCACAAGCCCAGGGCTCGCCTCACCTTGGAGAAGCTCCCTCGGTCCTGCCCCTCTTGGCCCTGCGGCAGGGAGATGGCCATGCCCATTTCTGCCGGGATGACCACAGCTCTGCGCTTGTTCCCGGGCACGGGGCAAGGAACAGGTTGAGCCGGGCGCAGCGGGTCCAAGGCACAAATGAGGATCCGGCCCACGGAGGCTGGAGACGGCGACGGGTCCGTCCGGTATCCCCTCCCAAACCCCCCGTCCCCGTGCCCCGGCCGCCCCCGGTTACCTGTGCGAGTCCTGGTCTCCCCCGGGGGACGCTCCCGCCGGCGCTCAGTAAGGGCGATTGGCGTCTTTGGGCCGCTTCAGCTGCACCTTGAGCCTCTTCATGCCGATCTGGAAGCCGTTCATGGCCTGGATGGCGGTCTGCGCGCTGGCCGGGTTGTCGAAGCTCACGAAGCCTGGCGAGACACGAGGGACGAGGGCCTGGGTTTCCACCGGCCGCCGGGCCGCTCCCGGTGGGGAGGGGTAGGTGGGGGAGAAGGGGCCGAAGGGCGGGGCGGGAGGGCTCGAGGCTCCTCCTCCCGGGGCCCCGCCCCTGGCCCGGCCGCGGCGCCCGGCGCCCCCCGCCCCCCGCGCGCGAGGGCCCCTCCCGGGGCGGGCGTTTCCGAGGCTCAGGGCCCCCGACTTGGGGGCCGCCAGCCCAGCTACAGCACCTCGGAGTGGGGCGACGCCGCTCCCCTGGGCGCCCACCGCCCCAGGTGGGACGACCACGGCCTAGCGGGGCTCGGAGAGGCGCCCGCCCCCCACCCCGGCCGGCCCCGGCACCTCAGCCCTCTCCTTCGGTGGGAGAGGGCGGACACACCTGCGGGTGGAGGAGTTTATTGGACACTGTCCTCCCTGACAGGAGGGGGCCTGGCAGCGGGAGGGCACGGGGTGCCGGCCTGGGGAGAGAGAGCAGTGCGAGGGGGAGGGAGGGGAGGCCCCGCGGAGAAACTTCTCCACCGCCGTTTCCGGCCGCCCCCCTCGCGAGCGCGGCCTGGCCGTGGGGGGAGAGCCAGAGGCCGAGTCCCCGCGGCCTCCCCGCCCCACTCCCGGTCCTGCAGAGGCTGCCCGGGCCGGGCTCCCGGTGGGCGCTGGGCTGAGTCCAGGCCCACTGCCTTAACCCTCGCCTCGCGCCCAGGGTCTGTCGGCACCTCTCCTCAACTGGGTAAGTTCCAAGCCCCGGGAGCCGGTGCTCTGTGCGTGGACTAAGCACGCTCCAGTAGCTGTCCCCCATGAACAACACTGGGACCCATAACAAGTATGATGTTAACGATTAACACCGTTAGTAAAAGATTAGGTGAGCGCCCTCTGCGTCCCGGGGACTGCAGAAGTGCTTCTTACGTGTTCAGTCCCCACCACACCCCAGAGTGGTCACAAATTCATGTGCAGCTTCCACTCTCAAGCACGCAGCGCCCCGGTGGGATGAGTCATGCTCCCAAACTGAGTTCAGAAGTCATCTTTTGGAAACTTTGAATGCATCTCCGTATGGGGACAATTCCTGTCAGCATTTCCAAGCTAGGCCTAAAAGGTGATCCTTTACAAAGGGCTTCTGTGGTCAGGTAGCTTTATAGCCAGGCCCCTCTGGGCCAGTTCAAAGTACAATAAAAGATAACCCTCCTACCCTCCCCCAAGGTCTCCAGTAAATAAACATTTATAGCTTTGTTTAATCTAGCATCTCCTTGAATTTATTCGACCTTAGAGGCCTTTCTCCTGTAAAACGGACTTAGATCCTGCAAAATATATTAATATGAAACTCAGCTTGGTGTGATACCCAGACCTTCCCACAAACGTGCCAGTTGGGGTGCTTGTCCCCACATGACTGTTAGATGTAGAAGAGATAGATGCATAGCCAGCTCCTGTGCAAAGTAGAAGCCATTTTCTTGGTTAATTATCCGTGGTACCTTATGCCTGCCTCTGACTCCTCCACTCTAAGAGATACACCTCTCTCTCCCCCACTCTCCCTGTGCAGTGGCTCTTTCCCCCTTTTTGCCTCTGTCCAGGACACCTGTCTCCATCAGTCCCTTTTTCTCTTGGCTCCTTCCTCCTTTGCCATCAAAGATGGGGGCTGGGGTGGTGGTGTGTGTGACAAATGTCTCATTTTTGTGCATGGGTGGATATGTGAAGGCGTGTGTGTGAACATGGATAGAGTTGGTCAGAGTCAGGCCCAGAACGAGAAAACCAGTATCTGTGTAAATCTGTATATCTAATAGGCAAGATTTAAAATTATCCATAGGTGGAGATTAGCTTCCAGTCATCCTTCCACCAACTGCTCTCAGCCCCCTGTGGCCCATGACCCCCTCAAGGACCTGTATGTCTTACAACTGAAAGCAAGGTCTCAGTGGCCCAGACAGAGCAGGTACAAATGTGTGGACTGTGTGTCTGTTCATACTGCTTTCCTGCAGGTTAAGGAAGGTGGTTGAACTAAAGCCTCTGTCCCTGCCAGGATGAGGTAGCTTCAATGTGGGTGACATGTGGCACCCCTCATTCCTTGGACCATTCACCTGGGCTTGGTGGGTCTCCTTCAGGAAACAAGACTGGAGCAAAGCAGGGAGGAGGAAGACAGATAAGGCAGCCTGGAGGGGCCATCTAAGGCAGCGGTGTAAAGAGAGAGAGGCACCCAGAGGGGAGCAGGGAGGAAGTTCTGGAGGAGGGAAGAAGCCCAGCCTTCCTGGGAGAGTTCAAAGGTCTCCAAAAGCCAGGCAGTTGGAAAGGATCCAGACTCAAAGAAACTTTTCTTTCCTTGGACTGTTATTAACTGGCTAGCAGTCAGGACAGGGATTGTCTCCCCTGCAGAATGGAGAGCCCTGAGGGAGGGCTCTGAGCACCATCTCCATGTTCACAGTTCCCATCACAGTTCCCAGGACTGTCGTCCTTCTCACAGACCTCCCTCCTTCCCCCCAGGCCCCCCTCCACACCATTCTTATCCTACTCCTCAGACTGGAGGGGATGTACCTCCAACCCTCCTTCCAACATACAACAGTTAATGCTAGGCATATCCTCACCAAGATCTCTGGGAGATTTTGCTTATAATTGCACACTTATGCATACAGAGCGAGTGCAGGCTTTGAGGAGTTCATGTTAACATAGGCCCACAGCAAAACAGCGCCTCCTGGAAGAACACAAGGGACTGTAGCACTCACTTCCTGAGGGTCTGGTCTGGCTGAGCAACCCCATCCTGCAGAATAGCTCCCGGAACCCTCACAGCACCCGGGAGACATGTCCCCATTTCACAAATGAGGGCATTTGAGCTCAGAGTTAAATGACTTGCCCATGAGGGAGCGCTGGAGTTAAAATCACATTAAAATCCTCTGGGATGGGACGGTGGCAGAAGGCTCAGCTACCCAGAGAGAGAGAGACCAGGTGGCTCAATAAGGAACAGCTGGGCTGGGCCAGCATGGCCGGAGCCTGTCATTATCCAAGGCCAGAGATGTTCATTATTAGTGTGTTTGAGAAGAGAAGAGAGGCCAGAGGAGAGGCACACAGATGATGATTTCTATAAAAAGCAGGAATAAAGCCCTGGTCCTGGAGAACTTAGTCGGGTAGTGGCTTAAAGTACTTGGGGTGGACTCTGAGGAAGCACCTTTGAAAAGCTGAGCCTGACTATGGCTGGAGGCTAAGCCTGTTCCAGCCCAGGTGCCCCTGAGTCTCCTGGACTATGAGAAGAAAGAATTCTTCTCACGTATACAGTATTTGAGACTTATTTTAACAGCAAATGTACCTGCTTTCTGGTTTGATTATATACATAATTGCAACTCAAAAGGAAAAGTGCCCAACGTGGAAGAATGCCACCCGGTCCTTTTCTTTTGCTTTGCTTTCCCACACCGAGAAAGAAATGAGTTACTGGAGCAACAAGATTCCTGTGGCAGCCACCAGAGGGGAAGGGACAGTGGTGGATCTTACTACTAACAAGTAGTTCAAGAAGCTTCAGACCTCCTCCTGGAATTTCATTTCACCCCACATCGCTCCCCTTCACTCCTCATCTGAATCCTCAAGCCTTTCGTGGTTCTGCCAAGTAGCCTTGGCTCCAAAATGTAAAGTCCTGAACATGTGCTTCCTGATGCTTCTCTGCTCTTGTCCCTTCTCCCCCAGCCCCACACGCTATGACCTGGGTCCCTGTCTCTTCCCAGCCCCAGACTCTGGGGGTCAGCCCAGGGATACTGAGCATCTAGCAGACCCAGCCCTGCTTCCATGTATGGCTTCCTGGGGACTGGACTCCTCGGTTCTCAAGGACTCATGAATGGATCCTAGAAGGGCTGGTGGGGGGAGGCGGAATGAGGAGGTGGGAGAGGGAACAGGAGGAGTGGAGGAGAGAAATGTGGAGTGAAGTGAAATTCCAGGAGGAGGAGGTCTGAAGCTTCTTGGATAGAGTTGCCAGATTTTACAAATCAAAACATAGGATACCCAGTTAAATTTGAATTTCAGATCAACCATGAATACTTCTTTTAGTATATCTCACATACTGCATGAGACATGTTACATGCAATGTTGAAGACATACTAAAAAAGTATCTGTTGTTGATCTGAAATTCAAATTGTGATGGGTGTCTTTGTGTTTCATCTTTCATCCATATTCCTGGATCCTCCCAAGTCTTCCCTCTCCCATCTAACACCCCATTACCAGGCAAATTTGCCCAAAGCTGTGCTTTTATTCTATTACCTCAGCTCAGGGAACTCCTGCTGTTTTCCACTGCCCCCCACACCAAATGAGGCACCCTCATGGGAATGGCCGAAACCCTCCCCAGCACAGACCCTCCCTCCTAACTGCTGTCCCATGAGTGTCCCCCCCACAGATCTCCCCAGAGTCTCTTGCCTCTTCATTCACCATCCTTGTACCCTTCTCGTCCCAGCCCCACGCTTGTCATCCTCTTCTTCCTACCTGGAATTCCCTCCCTTCCATGTGTTTACATCCTTCTGCCTTTCTTATCACTTATTACTTGGTGCTTCGCAGACTTCACTGCTGGTAAGTAGACTTAATTTTCCTCTAAGCTCAGAGCTCAGGCTTCCTGAGGGCAGGGACCAGTCTCCTCTTCCTGGCTTCTCAACAATGCCCTGCTCTGGGGGCTAGAGGGGCGTGGGTAGGGATGGTGGGAGGGAGCACAGAGTAGGGTGACAGAGAAGGAGGCAGGGCAGCACAGAGAGGTGGAGAGAGGAGGTGAAGGGGTGGGGGGATGGGGGTGGGGCAGGGCCTGGCTGGGCTGCTGCCCCACAGGGACGGTGCTGCTCTGCTCCCACTGAGACTCAGGCTGAATCACTCTGCCCATGAGCAGGGAGGGGCTGAGGGAGAATGGATGTTGCTGGGCTCTGCTCACTGCCCTGAACCCTGTGCGCAGGGGTCCTTTCCCCTTCTCAGTGGGTTGGAATCTGACTGGAAGTGGAAGCCCATTTCTTGGACTGGGATGTGGGAGGTGGAGATCCAGGTGAGGGTGGGCAGGGAAAGCCAAGAAGCAAAAAGAGCAGCGGAAGAGAGAAGAGAGGTGAGAGATGGAGGCTGGAGGCAGGCTGTGGGGCGCTCCTGGGGGCCGATGTAGAAGAGCAGGTGAGAAGCAGTTGGACACCAGTAGTTTGGTGTGAGAACCACCCTGTCCTGGGTGAAGCTAATTGGTTTGTTATCTTTACCCACCAAAGCATTTACTTTGGTTAGTCGCCCGATCCACAAACACTTTCGAGGAGATGACATTACCGAAAGGGAGGAACATCTGCATCAGCTCAGCGTCCCCAAACTCCTGGGGCAGATGGTAGATGAACAGGTTACAGCCCTCAGGCCCTGCGTGAGGGGAGGGGTGGGCGGGGGAGGAGGGATGGTGGGGTGGGGGAGAGAGAGACAGAGGAGAGGTGAGCGAGTTAGGCAGCGCAGCAGGGAGCGGGGCAAGGTAGGGAGTAGGGGTGGGTTCATTCAAGATCCAAGGGTACCCTGGAAGGGTGCTGAGCCCTGAGTCTGAGCTCTGCTCTCTGCTCTGCCCCTGGGCAAGTCAGTGACCCGCTCTGTGGCTCATCTGCCTTTTGTGCAAAATGGATCAGTAACAGAGGCCTGGCAACTTTGGGCTCCAGGGGCAGAGCGAATGAGAGAGAAGAGGGTGAACATGCCAAAGCTGGGTCCGCTGTGTCCCTGGAGATAAGGTAGTGGGGGGGCACATGGAGACCTAGGAGGACCTCTCTTCTTCCCAGCCTCAACTCTGGGAGGACTCAGGGACTTTGCCCTGGGAACCCTTGATCTATGCCCAAGGGTAAAGACACTTCATCTTCCCCTCTGCAGGCCCAGCTCAGACCCTGGGTCTATCCCCTTCCTGGCCTGCAGCTTCTCTTTCCCATCTGGCTTCCAGCACCACACCCTCTGCTGTGGTCTGGAAGGTGGAAACCAAGATGTATCTTGCCTCTCCAAAAGGCTAAGGCCAGGAAGGTTGTCACACCAGGCTCCATGATTACCTAGGGAACCCTGAACCTCTGTAGACAAAAGTTCTTCATTTTGTTACAATAATAACAGCTCTGCCCCTTCTACAGCATGAACTGTGTGTCAGGCTGTCCTGGTTACTTTATTAATTCACTTAGTCTTCACAGCACCCTGTGACTTAAATACCATTGTCATTGCCACTTCATAGATAAGGAAACTGAGGGCCAAAGAAGTTAAGGTAACTGCCAAAAAAAACATGCAGCTGTGTGTATGTGGGGGGGTGGGGGTGGCCAGGACATGAACCCAGACCATCTGCCTCCACTGTGTTTCTTCTCGCCACCTAAATCTCAGCCCTACCAGAACCCCTGAACACCTTAAATTTTTGAAATTTCCAGATCTCTTTTAAGACTTATATGTTTCTTTTTAAATGGTCAAAGTGTTCAGTTCTAACTCTTTGAAATGGAAATCTTTTCAAGATGCAGGGTCTATTTCCTGCCATCACCTAGCATATACCATGTATAATTCAGTCTTGTAAAGTGACCTGTGGTCATTTCAGTGCCTGTGTCCATCCTATGGTTGGAGATGGGAAGGAAACAATGTACTTGTTTTAGTTGTGTAAGAACCAAGGTTCTGATCAGCGGCTGGTGTAAACCTCAGCATGAGTTTAAAAGTGAAGACTATAAGGCAGCGATGTGGGCTGCTACCTGGATTTCATGGCCAAAACCAACTGTCTTCACTCTCTGGAACCATGAGGCTGCCAGATAACCCAGTCCTGGGGCACAGGCTCATTCTGGAGCCTCTGACCCACTCTTTGCTCTCTTCTCTCTCTTCCACTCTCCTCCTTCTTCCCTCCATCATCTCCACCCCCTTGAGGCCCAAAGCCTAGAACTAAGATCCCCAACCACCAAAGCAGCATAATAAGCTGCTGGCCTGCTCAATCCTTGGTCCCCACCCCACAGTATCCATCATCCTTCCCTTCCAGCCTCCCCTCCCTGAACTGCTGGCTCCCAGGCACTCTGCCAGCAGACGGCGCACTCAAAACTGGAGTCGAGTGTACCCTCCCACCTCAGGGGTTCCCGGTGCTGGGTACCCTGAGCTCTGGTGGCCCTCCCCCTCCCCTTGCCCTGTGCCCACTGACCATGCCATCCTCCCCTGGGTCATGCCCTGTGCATGTGCACTTGATGGGTCCCACAACCTCTGGCTGCTCCCTTCTGATGCCAAGTCCACTCTCAGTACTCTGTGGGGTGGGCTCCTTCTCTTTTATGTCTGAGAGGTTTTCTCTCCAACCAGAGTGACCACTCACCAGGAGCAGGAACATCTTTCTTGTCCTGTCCTCCTTCCCATCCCACTCTGGTCCACCTTATAACACCCCCCCACACACACACACAATCCTTGCTTCTCCAGGCCTTCCTGACCACTACACCCATGCTGATGCCTGCCTTGGACCTCAGGCTCTGACTCCAAGTTTGAGTGCTGCAAGCTGCTTCATGTGGTGGTTATGTCTGCTTTCCTTAAAGAAACAAGGAACCCTTATGGACAGGGCCCCTAGGCTTGGTCCCATCTACACCATGTAGAGTGGAGCTCCCAGGAAGACTGTCCAGCCCTGGCCTGGTAGGAAGCGGGGCAGCAGCTCAAGCCCCTTGCCCTTTACAGTAAGCCTGCATGATGCTGCCTTACTCCAGCCCCCGCACCTAAGCCCTTTCCACATTCCCCAACTCACAAATGACAGAACACCCAGATGGCAGAATCATCAGGACTTTACAGATCAGTCTGGCCAAACCCAGCCTTCTGAGAAATGGTGAGACGGAGCTGCAGAGACAGCAACTACCCCTGACTATACCACAGCCCCACAAGGTCATGGCTGCAGCCATCCCTGAGTGCAACCTCGCTCTGTCTGTGGGGCAGTTAGCCTGTGGGGGACTCAGGCACCTCTTGGTTTTCAGGCTTGGCTTAAAGACAATGCACTGGCAGGAGGGTCCTCCCCAGACACCTGTGAGTCCTAGTATTCTTATGGCATCCCACAGTGGGGAGGTGACCATGATACAGAGAGGCTGATTACTGGCAGGGCTAGGGGAATAGCCCTCCTTCTCATCCATGCCTCGGACAACACTGTGGGACATGGCTCTGGTGGGTCTCCAGCCCATCTTTGGGCCTGTCTTCTCTAGCCCCAGGCTCATCTCATGCTGTGCTGAAGCCACTCCCTCTGCCTGGAAGGCCTGCTCCCATCTCCATGTGTGGAGACACTTCATCCTTCCCCTGAAGCCATCCCAACGACAGCCCTCTCCCAGTGCCACCATTGCCCCGTCACCCCCTATACACAGCGTTGGTGGTTCTCTTGGCACCTCAGTCCACATTGTACCCCAGCCTGCTCCCCTGGGGTGGCTCAACGTGAGCACCATGGCCAGGGAGAATGAGGACAAGCCTCATGAAAACCCCCTGCTCAAGAAAAGGCCTGGTCTAGGGCACATGCAGGTGGGCAGAGGCTGAAGCTGCTTGGAGATGGAGAGAAAGCGTGAGAAGGAGTTCAGAGCAGGGCACACGAGGTGGTGCAGTGTGGGGCAGGAGAGGGGCAGGAGGTGCAATGGAGGCTTGAGTTTGTTTAAGTCCATTGGTAGGGGCCATTGTATGTGTCGTGTGTTGGTCGGGGCAGCACTGACCAGCAGCTAGGGGGGTGTGTGTTTTGTGTGAGTGTGCTTATTTGTGTGTCTGTGTCTATGTAACATGATCTGAGACCCCCAAGCACACAGGCCAGAGCAATTCAGGGAGCTGAGTATAGCCTGATGCCAGTGGTATGGCAAAGGAGTAGGGTCTGTGGGCACAGCTCTTTGTTCTGAACGTGGATGGGGTGACTGTTGGGTCCTACCCCCTATGGCCTTGATCTGACTAATGAAGGTTGGGATGGCAAGGGCAGGGATGATGCCCCCCTCCACCAATGGCAGGGCCAGGTGCCACTCAGCTACAGCAGTTGCGAGCACAGGGTTTGGGCAGGGCCCTCTGCATAGCTCTCTGGGCTGCTGGAGCTTGGTTCTCCTGGGCACGGGGGTAGGGGGACCTGATATACGGGTTTCAGGAGCTGCTTAATGGGTGTGAGCTGGGGTGATATACCTCATGGACAGGTTTGGAAGGGATGACGGTTGGGGAAGGAAAGGCTGTAGGCACAACACTTGCTGAATGGAGTTCAGCAAACAGACTTGAATGAGTCTAATCTTATATCCCTTTACAGAAAGGTCCTCGCTATCCTCACTTTATAGGTGAGGACACTAAGGCAGAGAGGGCCACATGGAAAGGAGGCAGCAGAGCTGGGAGTCAGGTCCAGATGGTTTGCTTCAAAGCCTGAGCTCTCAGCTGTTCAAGCTTCAGGGCCTGTTTGGAGATGGTCTGATGAAAGTGATTTGGACCAGCAGATGCCCAAGGGACTTTCCAGATACTCTCTTGTACCCCATGGCTCCAGGACAGCTGCTAAAGGGGCAACAAGCTGGGCATTTGCAGACCACTGGAGTGCTCTGGCCATGTGGGCTGCTGAGGCAGACTTGGTGGCCTCACTGCCAGCATGACCCTTTGCATGGGGGGTGTTCCCTCGAGCTGAGCTCTCTGTGGATGGACTTACAGAAACCCTGAGGGTGGCCATGTTGATGCCTGCTGTCTCTCACGAATTCTGAGCCCACTGACCTGCCTGCCTAGCCCTATTTACACAGGGCTCTGGGCATGGCTTTTCAGGCCCCTGTCTCCCACTAGGCCTACACTGGGGCACTCCCGTCCCTTTGCCTCATCATGCCCATGGAGTCCTACCCTGGGAACTTGTAGGTCTCTCCTGGTACCCAGAAGGCATGACATCTGCCCACGATGAACTAGGCTCTTTCCTGCATCCCCCCACTGTGGGTACCCCTACTTCTCCCCATCCTCTCCACTGGCCAAATCCTGCCTATAGGGAATTCTCGGTCCCACATCCTCCAGGGCGTCACCTTCCAGAAGACCTCAGGCTATCTCTTGATTCCTTCCCAGTGTGCACACCTAGCAGGGCTGGCACCTCCACCACACTGCTGGAGTCTCATCTCCCAGCTGCATGCCAACTCCCTGGGAGCACAGCAGTGGGCCCTCAGATGAAGACCCTAAGAACAGGCCTCGAATCCTCCATTTAACACTGTAACTCCACAACTCCCAGGGGCAGGGACAAGGCCTCTATTGGCAAAAACAGGCCCTACCTATGTAAGGTTCTGTTTAAGGGTTTGCTAAAGAAGAAACACAACCCTGACCATTCTGGTTTTTTTTTTTTTTTAATAGACCAAGATATCAATATGTGAGTTCTGAGTCAGATGAGTGGCAAATGAGGGAAGGGAATGGTAAAGTTGCCTTGTTTGGGGCCTGCCAGCCCTCAGGGCTTTCTGTCCAGTCCCCGGCCCCTGGGCTGGGCACCACTCTGGAGTACACGGCTACCCCTGAGAAGTGCACCTCCATGCTTGGGCAGGAGATCACTTGTGCCTTATAACTCCACTGTCTCCCTCGCCCACTTCAATACAGCACCAAATGTGGCCCCCTTTTCAATGCACACCCCAGCCCAAGGCCCAACCAAGAGAGCAAGGGTGGGGAGGGTCCCAGGAGCTCAGCCTGCACTCACCTTCTCTCTGTTGCTGTGGGATCATCGGAGGTGGCTGAGGGAAGGCTTGGCTTATCTGACCGTAGGCAGCAGGGTAGGCAGCTGCTGGAGGGCCCGGGGAGAGGTGGGAGCCGGCAGTGGGATGCAGAGAGGCAGGAAGAGAGAAAGAGGTTTCAGTGCGGGCAGTCAAAGCAGTCCAGCCCAAAAGGGCACTGCCGCTGACACTTACAGAACACCAGCTTTCAGTTCTTAGACTAGGGAAGGAGGGAAATGCATGGGTGTGTGTGTGTGTGTGTGTG